TTGTCACTTTGAAATTATCAACTTCATTATCTATGGAATCGGTAGGTCCTCTACATCACTTATGTTGTAGCCAAAGATACTTGAGAATTTTTCAAGTCCACTCATAAAGGCACGTCTAAGTGTGTTTGGAAGAAAAGAGTTCAGATGTGAGGATGATCAAGAAGAAGGTTTCTCGGGTTCCTAATCAAGTGGTTTGACATGAAAGTGACAAGTCATTGAAGAACAACAAGAGCATTCTTTTTGTTTCCAACTTTTGGGAATTTGTGCCCTGGTCTCTAATATAAGGTTTCTTACTATTATTGTGTTCCTTGGAAGATAATCCAATCAGGTGTTGAAGAGATTAGATATAATGTCTAGACCAAATATCCAGGACATTTGTACTGACTTCAGCAAGTCTGTGGTGCTAAAGGAAAGGCTGGAACTAGATATAGATAAGTCAATGTCTAAGCATTCATATGAGTGTGAAGACCTTGGATCTTTGTGGAGAAGAATTCCCTACTTATCTCAAGAACAATTATGGGTTTTCTATGTCTTGGCTTAATTAGGAAAGTAATCCTAATTATGAATGTTCCAAGGATTTTACTGGTTAGATTGGAAGATGGACTTCTGATGAAGATTTTGATTTTGAATAATTATCTCATGATGTGCTGGATGTTTTTATTCAAATGTATGCGTATCTAGTATAAAAAATCTTATCAACCATGAAAAAGTAGGAGTGACTTATTTTTTATCTTATGTCTTAAGAGAATGAAGAATTGCTTATCATCCATAACTTACAAGGTGAGGTGACTATATTATTCCTAAAAACTTCATATCTTGATCAAGTCTATAAATATTAGTTCAGAACAGTTGGAGAGGTGTCTTCTAGTGGAAAGATGATTGGAAGCCTAAGGAGGATTAAGGTTTCAAGCTATAACTAGCAAAGAGAAAACTCAAAGTGACAAAAGGTTGTTTTTATCAAAAGGCAAGTTGAATCAAGGATGTCAATCTTAATGTATCAATATTGTGCTATACATCAGAACACTCATGCTAGAAGCAGATACTTGCACTGAGGAAGCATCTTCTATGAAAAGTTGATCTTAGTAGTTTTCTTTGTTTCCTTTGACCTCCTCAAAGGTCAAAATCACCATAGGTTAACCAGTCAGTGGTTAATACTCATATAAGGTGATAATTTCCTTATATATATACCTTTCTTAGAACTTTAACTAAGACGATTGGTATTTTGGCCTTTACTGTTTCAGTCAGTGATTAATACTCATGTTAAGCTACATGACTCAGATTCAGATATTGATGAAGATGTAGTCAATTTCATTGATCCAGAAGGTTGTGTTGGATAGTCATTGTCTACTATATGTTTATAAAAAAAGTGTGTTTTTTTTGTTTGTTTTTTTTTCTTCTGTTCTTTGATTCGTTTTTTATTTATTTATTTAACCCTTAGTTTATGTCTCTTTGGGTGAGTCCTAGTCTATTTTTTTTCTTTCTTTTGAGTCAGGTTGATGCAATTGGTCTTGTATCAAGCATATGGTCTGTTTGTTTTATGTCCTTAGTCTGTTTGTTTTTGAGTCAGTTTTGAGTCTTCTTTTGTTTGTCTTGAATCAATTCTTGCTTCTATTTATTCTGTTTATTTCAGTTTCTTTTCACTCAGTTTTATCAATTTTTTACTAAAAAGGGGGAGAAAAGTGTCATTAAGTTTACTCAAGTGTTATTTGTTTTATGCAACATTTTAGGGGGAGTATGACTGTCTGTCTTGTGTGTCGTGAGTCTGTCTTATTTTGGGTTGTTTGTAGGATGTCCTATAGAATATTCTAACATCATATTTGTTGTGTCTTGTGTTCTAAATTATGAGCATTATTGTGTCTTGTGCTATGAGTTATGTGTGTTGCTTCTGCTGTATGTACTTCTAATGTGTTGTGTTCTTGAGAGAGATTTATCTCTGTGTCAAGAATTGGGTATGAGTTTAAGGGAGAGTAATGCACAGCTTCTCATGTACAAAGTTTACATGTTTAGCATGTAGCTCGTGTTTGTGTAATTGTTATATCTTTGATACATATTTTGTGCAATTTGATTTGTGGTGTTATTCCTCCATGATCTTATTCCTTTGTGGTATTTTAGCCAAAATTTGCCAAAGGGGGAGATTGTTAATTCCATAGTTTTAAGATTGACATAATTTTACTAAAACATGGTTCTATACTGATGTTGATCAAGATGTTACATCATTTTTATCAATTGTCATAACATGTTTGATGTTATGAATTTTTCAGCCAGATGTCGAAGCAAATGCCATAGCATCTTGGTCTGGTACAACAGGCATTTATGTTTTAAATAGGATATTCCTTTTGTATATATCTCAGTAAAATTCGCAGGTCAAAAAGATTTAATCTGAAACAGGAGTTGTATCTCCAGTTGTACATTAGTTATTAAATTGGTCATTGAGATAATTTAGGAAACTTTGTATCGTTTGTTCCTAGATTTAAGAATATTTAGCTGCACAATTGGTGCATCACTCAACTTATAAATCAAGAAACTTTTGGACGCAGAATTTGAAGTTCATTGACTACAAAGGTGTATTTAAAGGAGAAAACCTAAACCTAATGTATCAATTCTTTCAAGAAATTTTTTCATAATTTGTAAATTAGGGGAAGCTTAGAGTCTTAGGTTTTGAGAGTCTCTTGTGTAGTTGTAAGTCACCCTTGTATCTTTTGATACTTTTGGTAGATGTAATATTCTCACTCAGAAGCCTTTAAGTAATGAGTTGAGTATTGTTCTTGGTTCAAACTTTTAAGCAAAACCAGGTATTGTTCTTAGTCAAGAGTCTTGACTTTGTTTTTTGTATTGAAAGTGTAATCTTCTTGTTGAGTTTTTTTTGATACAGTCACTGAGATTAGGACTGTTAAATAGCATTGGGGTGATTTAGGGAGTGAGATGACGATTTCTCATATCTAGAAGGTGTCTAGGTAGAAGTTGCATTGTATAGGGATTAAGCGAGAAGTTGTAAACTGAAATTATTTAGGCTTTAAATTAATACTACTGATAATGTATTTCTTTCTTGGCTTGGTAGCTCTCAGAGTAGGTGAATTGCACCAAACTGGGTTAACTATTCTATATATTATTTATCATTCTGCAATTTAATTTCAGTATCAATTGTGTCTTGATAAATCTGTTCAGGATGTCAAATCGGATGTTGTAACATCTACTTTGACATTATTCTAATATGGGGATATCAGTATTACCATGTGTTGCTTGTACCAGAAAATTTCATAATGAATTGGTAGCCTACCACAAAGTGTTCATGGATCTTAAATAATATTCTGAAATGTGGGAAGAAGATGGTGCAGATCAGGTATTGGAATGAAGTGCTCCAAACAGGGCACTATAAAATAACAACCATGTATAAGGATTTGAGAGGAGAAAAACAGCAAAGGGATTGAAAGAAATTGTTCTTCACGAACTATGCTAGGCCATGTGCAAAACCCTTTAACATTTATGGGAGGACTTAAAACAAAAGATAGAATAACAAAATTTGAAATTTTGACCGATAATATATGCAGCTTCTGTCATGAAAATTAAAGTGTAGAACATTTATCTTTTGCTAACATTGTTAAAAATTAGATATGGTCAGAGATTCTAAGTTGGATAGGCTATCACATAAATCTCATAAGTTAGAGGCAAGCAGTGGCGGAGCCAGCACTCGACCAGGTAGGGCAGCTGCCCAGGCTCCGCCCACAACCTGCTTTCACAATATATACCTTCTTTCAATAACCACACACTTCTTCCCTTCCTCCGATGCATTCCTCAACCACAACAGTTTCCGACGAAAAACATTCACCACACTGTAACTAAACACCGAACGAACCATCTTCATTCATTCCTACGGATATACGACAACCACTACACCTTTGTTCTTCTTCGTTCTGCAAATCTCGATAACCGACTTCATTTCCATGATGTTGTTGCAGGTTGTAGTTGGCGAATTGATGGAGAATTAGTACTGAATTTGTCGTTTCACGCTATGTCCACCAAGTGTTCAATAAAAGTTTTGAACCGAAATTCTTCTTCCTTTATCTGATTTTTATTTTACTGAATTTTTGATAACTGAACTTTGATCTCTGATGGTGCTTTTAGTATTGAATTCTTGTTTAATTGTACAAGAAATCTGGTAGCAAAGATGCTCCTCCTGTTATGTTTCTAAAGCATAATGTAAGTATATTATCTATTTAATTCCTCTACAGTTAGCAAATGATGGTTGGTGTTAACAATTGCTAATAATTATTGATTGATTATTATTAGATTAAGCATGTTAAATTTTCTCTTGATTATCACTTCTTTCAATTCTCCATACATGTGTATAGATAGTGTCACTCTTATTGTGTAAATAGGAGATAGTGAAAACGTGTTAGGTGAAGCAACATTTTACCTGGATCCATTGGGATCCACTGTACGGATTGTTGTGGAAATAAGAAATTTTGATTTCACAAAAATAATAATAAAAATAAAAAATAACTTTAACTTACATTATTAAATTTTAAAACATGATTAAGTCACATTTAAAAATATATACCTCAAAATTTATTTTTATGATAAGTTACTTCAAATAACTGAAATTTTAAATTATTTTTGAAATTTATAATATTAAAAATAAAAGTATAAAATGACTGAAATTTCTAAAATAATATTTTATCAAAACCCAATTAAAATTCTTTTATAACTTTTTATAAAACAAAAATATGAAAGACTACAAAAATTAAATTTTTAAAAGCTAAAAATCATTTTATGAAAAAATTTGTAATAAACCAACCCATATTAGACTAGAGAAGTTGGTAACTATTACAGATGAAACTTGTTCCAACTTTATATGTAGTATTAACTCACTACACCACACCACCCTTGCCATCCTTACTGATTTAGGAACTAGTGTACAATTTTCATGTCCTACTTCAAAACGCATTCAATGATTCATGCTGTTTGTTACAAATAGAAAAGATGGTATCCAAAAACTTTCTTTAATAAAAATAATAATAAAAGACTATACGAGGGCTTCTAAATTCACACTTAAATAAACTAGAAGCAAGGTTCCTCAAATTACCATCACACAAATTGTTAAAAGAGTGTGATCTAATTGATACAACAGTGCTGGAGCAAATCCCATCAGTAATGGCATGCCAATTGTTTTCCCTGTTGGATGTGTCCTTGAATAAAAAGTAATATATCACAAAACTGGAGAGTCCAAACTCTTCCATCCATAGACTAAGCTACTCTGCATTGTCAATTTGCCATTAATCAGATTATAGCCATTAACCATGCTCCAAAAAGAACAAATGAAGTTAAACAAATATGGATGCTGGAAATCTAATTCAACTAGAAGTATAAAATAGTTTAATTTAGAATGGGTATATGTTAGGGGTGGACATGGGTTCTGGTTGACCAGCATACCCAACAAAGCCAGAAAACCCAGGCAAGGTTGGAGAATTTGTTACGAGCTCATCTGTTTTCTTGCTTCTGTTTGATGTTCTTCAAAGGGGGCCTATGTATCAACACATGCAGAGATAGGGCATCCTTAATCATTTTTCAGTTTTTTCATGTCTCAAGAATTAACCTTTTTCTGTATGCACAAAGAACTCTTCTCTATTTGAAATATTTCTTCCAGCAGAGGAAGTGGGAATCCTATGGCGAGTGGAAGGTGTCATAGAGAATATAATGAACTGCAATCAAGTTACACACTGTTTCTTTCTTCACATTTTGACTTTATAACATATATATTTTAACAGTAGTTTTACTATATAAATAAAGTAATGCAGAAACAAAGTCACCAAACAACACATTGTCATCAAATTTAAAGACATAATATATAATCCTTTTAATTAAAATAGAAAGTTTACCTGTGAATATATGTTGCATTCAAGATTCTTGTTTGACTTTTTGCTTCTTCGATTTCTTTAGTTTTTGGGCAGTGTCACCCGTTGACGGCTCCCCGTCTAAAGCATCTTTATCTGACATTAATGGTTGTCCCTCACTATCTCTCTTTTTTATGCTTCTGTCAAGTTTTCGAAGATAGTTAAGCACAAAGATATGTACTTTTAAGAATATTTCTTAGACGGGACAAATATGTGGAAGAGATAAACCTGTTTGAGTGGGAAACAACTTCCGAGTTCTTATCCAACCAATGTATGCTTCCTGTGTTTTCTGGAACTAGAGATCCATAAACATGAAGCATTTCCTCATCAAAGCTGCAGTGATTAATCATCAAAATTAATCATTTGATACAATGCTCAACTCATAACCCATGTTTAAATTTTACCCAGGGTCATTTTAAAATTATTTGAAGTTATACTATCAATGAAAGAAAGTGGCAACTGTGTCAAGCCACCAAAACCACCAAAGTTTTCCAACATGTAGTAAAAGGCTAACACAACTAACAGAAAAACAAATAAAACTCTTCATATTAAATCCATACGAATAAACAAATATTACTATCAAGAGATATAAGATGTGAGTGTATGAGTTGCCGATGACAGAGTGTAGGTGCATACACATCGACAAGTGAGCAAGATTCCCAAAGAGAAATAATTAAAGGCTCATTTTTGAAGTTATGGAAAGAGTAAGGATCCCAAAATTCAGTAAGCATGTAACAAATTTGGGGTTTGGCTATAGCAGAATGTATGTGTGTGCACCTTTGAGGGTGCTTCTAGACTAGACAAGACCCAAAATAGAACAAAGATTTATACAAAGGACAGGCAAACCTACATAGTAGATACTAGATATCAATCCAAAGACACAGAAAGGGATCTATATATGTTAGTAGAAGAAGTCCAACTCCTGTCACTCCCTACAGATTTATTGATTAGGTAGCCAATTCTTTTTGTATATATTCATGTGCAACCAATGATACAGTGGTACAGAATTATATTATTTTTAGTTACTACTCATACAAATGTACATATACATAGTACTCCTTCGTGTCAAAAATCAATTAGGATACGCAATGAAACCCATCTAGAGGGATGATTACTATATCCTTGGGGATATCTAAGCTAACGCGGATATTTAAAATTCAACACACAATCAGTACCACTAATTCAAGTCTAGAGAATGAAGATCGGGAAATAGAAACCAAACTAGAGACAGATATTCATGCAATTGTAAGGCAAAAAGATGCATTGAACACAAATCTAATCTTATTCTAATCAATTTAAAAAGTATGTCACCTCTTGACCAAAAATTGTATCGTGGTTCCAACCTTTATCACATGTCGCTTGTGAGAGTTACTCGCATACACTTCTTGCCCGTGTTTCTACAAAAACAAAAACCACATATCACCGCTACAGAACACTAAAACCACACACATATATAACCACCTAAACATTCCTGGGAGAAGCTCACCATTTTATACACAAACTCTGCCCTGATATCTTTCTCCGTTATAATCGCAGAAGCAAATCCAAGCACAACAACATGAATAGACTCATGTGTAAGTTTCACTACCTTTCCTTCTGAAAAAAAAAAAACACAAACCCTATTAATCAATAAACTATCCTAAAAAAATTGAACTATCACAATTTGTTAATTTCTGTTAAAACAATAGACCGAAATGAAAGAATACAAGTAGCATTAACAAATGAAATTTAACAATACCTAAAAGCATATCTGGCTTGGGAGAAAAAAGCAACAGATTAAGCTTCAAATTAACACCAAAATAAGGATAAACTCCAGGAAGGATCTTGGCGCATTTGTCAAACGAGTAAACATCGTAAGCCAAAACGACGCCGTCGAAGATCTCGTCGTACCTGCAAAGAGACGCAAGAAAAACAAAATAAACATAAGAGTGACGTTGATTGTGATATTTGAAAGTGTACGAGTAATTGGTTGAAGAAACTAGAAAGGCTACGTGAAAAGCATGGTGCTGAGTTCACGAAGAACGGCTTTTGAAACTTGATTGCTTTTAGATGGGTGAATGTAAACTATTAAGCTAGCTTCTGAAACCTTTAACCCTTCCATTGGAGACTGTGATTGGAGAAGGTGTTGGTGTTTGGTTTTGGAATTGCAACTAACTATGTGTAATAGAGTAAAGTCGGAGCACGGGTTGTCCGCCGCTTTTAGCCGCCGGAAGCGGAGGAAGATTAAACGATGGGGAAGAAAGAGAGAGAAGATGAACCGTGTATAATTTAGGGTTAGCCTCTTACAATTTAAAAGCCCAGTATATGTAATATCATAAGTTTTTATTTATTTTTTCAAAACAAGTTATTATTATTATTAATAGATTTTAAAAAATACTTTATCAGAAAAATAAATAAATTTAATTAAAAAAAGTATTAACACATCACACAATACAGTCACACTATATGAAAAATCCAACATATTTACATGATCAATCAAGTAATCAATTACCGAAAATATCTATGATCACAAATTACCATTTTAACACAATTTTGATTTACATTAATAGAAGCTCTTTTAAGTAATTGACTAAATCAATTTACATTGCCCAATCAAAATTAAAGATTTTGTCAAATGACAAATTATATTATTATTTTTCCCGGCTCCCGTTTCCCTCAATTTATATGAAACCACAAAATATCTATACTATATAAAAATTACACATACTATATAAAAATATCATTGTAATTTAAGAAACACTTAAAATATGACATTTTAAATTTCCCTTTATAATTCAAGTGCACAGAAATTTCTTACACCCGACAATGTAAAAATGGTTTATATGTGGTTACAGTTATTATCATTTAACATATTGTAAGAATCAAAACCAATTTAATTTGTTTACATGTGATTTCTAAATTTCAGGGACGTGAATCTATAATGTATTATGTATTTTACATTTTAACACTAATTGAGGGATTGGTTTCCAAATAGTTGGAACTTTTAAAAAATTTCATCTAATCCTCGAACTTTCCTCTAATTATCAGAACCTGGAATTTAGTGAATTGTAGAGGAACCTTCCCCTCAAACATGACAACAATTATGGATTTTAAACTTCAAGCCACACAATGGAACTGATTTCCCCTCAATATGAACTTTTAATTTGACATTTGGATTAATGAATTATAATATTTTCATTCCAACATTCCTTGTGCTGCTATGAGTAGTTTATATATTACTTTTTTTTGGTTGTTTCAAATTTAAAAAAATGATATTGATGTAACTTTTTTGAAATATTAAATTAGATTTGTTAAAATATTAGATTTGATTATATTTGATTAGATTTAATATTAAAATATAATTCAAGTTGTATAAAATCAAACTCAATTAGAGTTGTTTATAAATAATTCTAGTATGTATCATTATTTATACAATTCAATAATATAAATCTTTATTTCTTTTATTATTCTCTCTTCACAAAAGTGTCTCACGCACTAACAAATTGGTATCCAGAGTTTCTGGATATTGTTCTTGATCGAGTTTTTAAAAATTTCACGTCAGATATTGTGTTTCTAGGGCAAGTGATTCAACCGCTGCGAAGATGACTAGTGATAAGGGCATTCCAAATTCTCTTCTAATGCTTGACGGCAAGAATTGGATCCGATGAAAAAATAGATGCAATCCTTGTTTGGCTTCCATGAAATCCTGTAAGTGGTTATCGACAGTGTTCCTGTGTTGGCTGCAAATGCAATCGACGAACAGAAGAAAAAAAAACCACAACAAAGTCAAGAAGAAAGATTACAAGGCTGCTTATTGCATTCAGACGGTGCTCGATGCTGCTAATTTTGACAAAATCTCTCATGTTGAAAGGGCGAATGAGGCATGGGATATTCTGGTGAAGTATTAAAAAGGAGGTGAGAAAGTCAAGGTTGTCAAGTTACAAATCTTGCATCGATAATATGAGTTGTTGTCGATGAAAGAAGATGAAAAAGTTGCAGAATATATGTCAAAGGTTCAAAATCTCATTTATCTCATGAAGGGTTGTGGTGAAATCATAACTGATAAGATGATAGTTGAGAAGGTAATGAGAACGTTGACCTCTCACTTTGATCACGTTATCGTAGCTATTCAAGAATCCAACAATCTTGAAATCACTAAAATGGAAGATTTGGTTGGTTCGTTGGAGGCGCAAGAGATGAGGATTGTCGAAAGGAAAAGAGTGCAAGACTCGATACAGACTCTACAAGCTCAGTCGTGGAAAAAAGATGGTGGTTCCAAGAAATTTAAAGGCAAGTTCGACAAGACTCAGGGCAAGAAGTCTTGGTCGAAACCTCACAAACATAAGGTCGAAGATGGAGCTTCTTAATCCTCAAAAGGAGGAGGAGGAAACTATCGAAAGGACAAAGAAGATAAAAAAAAGGCGTGCAGTGCTATAACTGTGAAAGTAGGGACACGTAGCCAATAATTATTGGTACAGAAAAGATAATGGATCGACAAACAAGGACGAAGGAGTGAACCTTGCACGCCAAGATTCAGATGATTTTGAAGGTGGTATTATGGTTATGAATGCAGTTGCAGATAACCATGTCGAATCCAAAATCTGGTTTCTGGACTCAGGCTGCTTGAACCACATGACTGGTCGAAAAGAGTGGTTGGCAGATTTTGACGAGTCGAAGAAGAGTAAGTTAAAACTTACTGATAATAGTTCGTTGCAAGCAGAAGGTACTAGAAATATAATATTTCAAATGAGTAATAGAGGGAAAGCTATGATCAAATATGTTCTTTATGTACCTGGAATAAAGTGCAACTTGCTAAGTGTTAGACAACTAGTCGAAAAAGGTTTCTCAGTTGTCATGAAAGATGGAGTTTTGAAATTGTTCGACACCATAAAGAATTTGGTCTTAAAATCTCCACTGTCGAAGAACAAGACATTTAAGACTATGGTCAGTTCGACTGAAGTTCAATATTTGAAAACTTTTGTTGACCACAAGGATAGTTGGTTGTGGCATTTGAGGTTTTGACATTTAAATTTTAGATCACTTAATCAACTGATTACTCAAGATATGGTTACTGGAATTCCAAGTCTTGAGATGCCTGAAAAACTTTGTGAAGGTTATTTAGTAGGAAAGCAATCTCAAAATTATTTAGTTTCGACTATGCCACTGAGATCATCTTGCATACTCGAAGTGGTACATTCAGATGTATGTGGTTCATTCAAAGAACATATAATTGGTGGAAACAGATATTTTATTTCATTTGTCGATGAGTTTACGAAAGTTGGGGATCTATGTGATCAAACGAAAGGACGAAGTATTCGAAATCTTTAAGACATTCGAGATACTTGTCGAAAACCAGAGTGAGAAGAAGATCAAAGTTCTGCGAACAGATGAAGGTGGCGAATACACATCCAAGATATTTGAAGATTTCTGTGCAGAACATAATGTTGATCATGAGGAAACTGCTCCTTATACACCTAAATGGAATTGTTGAAAGAAGAAACAGAACCATATTAGATATAGCGAGATGCATGCTGAAGCAAAAGAATTTGCCAAAGTTTTTATGAGAAGAAGTTGTTTTGACTGCAGTTTATATTTTGAATTGGTGTCCTACCAAGATATTGAAGAACAAAATTCCTGAAGAAGTATGGAGTGGAAAACGGCCATCAGTGATCCATTTGAAGGTGTTTGGCTCTATGTGTTACAGGTATGTTCCTGATGCAAGAAAAAAGAAGCTTGATGACAAGAGTGAACCTATGATTCTAGTAGGATATCATAAAACTGGTGCATACAGATTATTCAATCCAATTAATGAGAAGATTGTGCTGAGTCGAGATATTGTGGTTAATGAAAATTCTGCCTGGGATTGGAATTCTAGTAATTCAATTAACAAGCCATTGATGAGTTCTGATGTCGATGAAGAAACTGATGAAGTAAAGGTCAGAGGAATTGTTGAGAATCCAGTCGAAGAAGAAGCAGTTGCTGAAATTTCCGACATAGTTGAAGTCGAAGAGGTTGTAGCTGAAACAAGCCAAAGACTTTAAAGAAATAGAGTTCTTCCAACAAGATTTCATGATTATGAAATGATGAGTGATGATGAAGTCACACCAGATGAAGAATTAGTTCATTTTGCTTTACTTGCAGGTGTTGAACCAATTAACTATAGTGAAGCTTTGAAGACTAAACGATGGAAGTTAGCTATGGTCGAAGAGTTACAGGCAATCGAAAAAACAATACATGTGAGTTATTCGAATTGCCAACACATACAAAAGCTATCGATGTAAAGTGGGTATCAAAGTTGAAAAATAATATTGATGGCTCGATATTAATACATAAAAGTAATATTAGTAGCTCGAAGGTTTCTTTAAAGAGAATGACTCGACTACTCTAAAGTATTTGCTCCAGTAGCAAGATTGGAGATTGTTCGACTAGTGGTAGCATTGGCATGCAAACAAGGTTGGTCGGCATTCCATTTAGATGTGAAATCAGCATTTCTGAATGGTCCTTTAGACGAAGAGGTCTATGTAACACAACCTCCAGAGTTTGTGATTCAGAAGGAAGCGAGTAAAGTATATAAGTTGCACAAAGTGCTTTATGGCCTCAAGCAGTCACCTAGGGCATGGAACAAGAAGATCAACTCATACTTAGTCGAATTGAGATTTGTCAAATGCAAATCTGAGTATGGTGTCTATGTTTAAGTTGTAGCACAAGATATAACAAGCATCTACTTATATGTCGATGACTTGCTAGTAACTGGAAATAGCTTGGAGAACTTGTCGAAGTACAAAGAGCCGATGATGAAGGAATTTGAAATGTCTGGTCTGGGAAAATTATCTTATTTCTTAGGTATGAAATTTCAAATGTCGGAGCAAGGTATGGTGCTACATCAAAGGAAGTATGTCAAAGAAATACTCAAAAAATTCAGAACGGATGATTCAAATCTTGCATCCTCACCTGTCAAACCAAATGTAAAATTGGAGAAGAATGTAGAGGAAGACAAAGTCGGTGTAACTTTGTTCAAGCAAATTATAGGATTTTTGAGGTATGTGTGCAACAATCGACCTGATATAGGTTTTGTTGTAGGATTAGTAAGCAGATATATGAGTGAACCAAGAGTGTCACATA